TAAATCTTTAAATGACTTGTTCTGAATAAACATTGGTCCAGTGTAATGATATTTGGTCAGAAGCATGCTGGGATGGAAGCTATACATTCTGTTCAACCTAATGTCCTTGTTCGACTTTCAAGGTCACGTGTGTCATATGTTTAAATATTTTAATAGGGTCTAATGAATGAAACACTGATATTTTCCCTGTAGCTGTATTTTAGTCTATTTCAAAGATTACAAGTGTGATATTATATGTAAATACTAGGTGATCGATTCAGGCCCATTGGGCCTCTTGTTTGTCATAATTTATTTTAGGTTTTAGGTGTAGGTCCACATGAAACTCAATGCCTAAAAGTATATATTTTTTTATTTCCCCACTGTACACTTTTTGCAAAAGATTTTAGTTCATCAATTGATTCTTTAAATGATCTTTTGCCTCATTTAAAATCAGTGAAGTTTCATCAGCATATTGAGACAGTAATATAGGACTATTATCAATATCAATACCTTTTATTAGGGCTTTTCACCAAAGTGAAAAGACCTCTTGTTTTTGTTCGGCTGCTTTTTCTCGGTACTATTATTCTTCTGCAATAATTTTGTGGCCACTTAATCTTTTTGATTGGTAGCAGATATTTTTAAAGACCTTCAGGTATGTTATTGGTCATGATGGGAAGGTGTTATTGCAACATGTTCATGTAGGTCAAAACTCCAATATGGCCGCCATGACGTCATATTTCACAATCTTTAAACGGCCATAACTCACGGACCGTTCTTCATACAGCATTTATGCAATTATATTATTTGAAGATTTTATTCGGGCTATTTTTTTCCTTATCATATGTTATCATAAAAATGTCAAATAAATATCCCTTCCCTTCCTGTCGGGTCAAAGGTCACCAGTTTTTCAACTTTTTAATTTTTCAAGTTTACGTTTATCGTTAACAACCTACACTATTTTGAATATTTCCTTTGATCTTTTTATAGAGCCGACATTATGTTAAATCTATTTTTTTTACAAAAGTCTATGATGGAAATTTCATTTAAAAACAATAGAAAGGTTTCCTCAGATATCCAACCAAATTTGGTAACACATTTGACTTAATTGAAAAAAATAAAATGGGCGCCATGACGTCATATCGGTTTTAACTCATTAATGGCTGAAGACGTCAAGCTCATCTTTGGATATATCTCGAAGAACAACAATAGAAAACGTTTTCTAAGTAAACATTTTTTTGTCAAAGGTCAAATTTCGATTTCCGGTAGGGGTTAATGTTCAAAAACACTATTTTGGGTAAAACTTCAAAAAAACATCTTAAGTTCTACGAGGTTAAGATTCTTGATATTGGATATCCAAGATGCTGAGAAGTTAAAGATATCAAGGTTGAACAAATGGTTGACCTTCTTTACCTATCAAGGCAACAAAGGTCATAATGTTAAAAATATCAAATTTCTTAAATCCGGAATATTTCGAAAATTGTTCGATAGATTCCCTTTATATTCAAGTGTGTTGTGGAGGAAAACACCAATGCACATGTTTTCGAAAAGAAAAGTTGACCAAGTCCAGTTTTGAGCTACAATGTAGCACATATGAAATTTGAACTCTAAATATGCAGTTAAAGGGCGGTAAGAAGGTCTGACTAAGAAGGCAATTTTTTTGTAAATATAAACAACAACGGGAGGTTGCAAGTCCAGGGGAAATGCAAAACAAAATATATAGTGGATGTGAAGGCAAATAAATTATGTTCGGCTCAGCCAGGTTAAACTAATTTTATCCATTTTTTTAACCCACCTTTTATTTGTAGCCTTTCGCTATATAATAGCAGGCACTCTCGGCCGAGCAGTGCGAGCCGTTATAGCAACACATGTACGGAAAGTACGGGAAAATGAGAGTGAATTGATGCTATGCTATATGAAGGCTTCAAAAACTTTGGTCCTTCCGGTCCTACAGGCTCGCAAAAAACGGCAACATGTAATGCTCCGTGCCTGCATTGATGTTCCTTTTTTGCCCAAACAATTAATTTGATATTTTCAATGAATACATTGTATTTTTGTCGTATCTCCGGCAGTTTTTTATGTTCAGAAACAATCCTACATTTTTTTACAAGTCGAAGTTACTGATCAAATCCTTTGATGTCGTACATGTTATTTGGATATTTTCATTTTTCTCGAAATGAAAATTGTTTCAATGTAGTACTTGCGCTTGGTTATTTGTCCTTAGCTTCAAAATGAAATCAATTGATACTGATAAGTCCGTATCTATATACCAGTCATACGTATTTTGCTGTTTGTGAAATGATGAATTGATGCTCACAACATGTTGTGACGCGACTGTGACGTCACTGTTAACACGCATCATCGTAGGGTTGACAATACATTCACTGAAGTCAACCCGAATTATCTGCAGCTTTACCACATGATTAAGAATATTTTGATTTTGTTCATGTTTGCTTTGTAACTACATTGTAGGCAGATTTACATAAAGGATATCTTTGAAGTGACGTTAGTGTACGTATTTTCTTGCATTTATGCTACTTTTAAAAAGTTCTTCTGAAGTAATTTCCTTACAATTATCAAATAAAAAGAAATTTGTTTCTGTATATTCAAATACAACGATATTTTTTCTGCACTTTCATCTCAGAATACTGTCATTTTTTCCGTTACTTGATTTAACACAATATGATTTATTATAGAAAAGGCGCATTTTGCTGCGCCATTTGCTTCTTCACCTTACCAAATTATTTTGGAGAAAAATATGCAGTGAATTCTCTTACAGTACATTAATAATTGTGTATATGTTTTTGTTACAATGTATGTGATTACTATTGGCATCAGAATAATACTGAATGAAAAACAGTGGAAATACCACATTAAATAAACAGTAAATTATACTTATGGATGGTATAAATAGATGTAGCTTCACGAAGATCATTACATTTAAAGCCATAGGCAACTTTTTTCCGTTAAGTATCAGTGCATTCCGGTACCATCTGAAGAAAGCAAACAGGAATATTAATGCTAAACATTATTTTTGACTCCATACAACCGCTGATTGGAAACCTTGTTCTGATGTATTGAGGCAATCCAGAATATCAATAAAAATGTTTTCGACATTGCTATTTGATAATTGTTTCTAGATCATTTAAAATTCTGAGATGTCTATCATGCATGATCACAGGTTATTGAAAGCCATTCATTTTGTTGTCCAGTTCATATAGCGAAAAGAAACAGAAAAGCTAACGGGTCTTATAATCCTCCGCAGACTGTCTTCATTGAAATTGATACGATTGCCCAGTATAAAACGTCATTATCACTTTTAAACAGACTGATTTTAATCAAAAAGGAATGTCCATTGAAAAATAGAATTAAGTAATTACAGATAAAAAAACAACCTATGAACTTTTTTTTTTAAGTTTTGTATCATCGCAACAGCTAAGTAAAGAAAGATGAAGGAATAAACAGGTAAAGGTCATGATATTCCAGTATGGACGGCAGATCGAGTTTGGTTAATTATTCCAATGCAGATGACATCTAGATGAGTGATTTAATATCGCTAATATTTAATGTGTATGTGTTTCTAAGGTGCTTTTAAAAACAACGAACCAGGGCTGATCTAGTGCGGGAGGGTTCAATATGGGGTTAGGGACAAGAAGCCGAGGCAAGTTCGGCCCCGGGATAATTCCAGCCAATCCATATATTTGAGGTCTTGAGCAAATATTTATAATTTAGAGGGTCTTAGCAGTATACATAAATGCTTAATATTGACTTTCGTATTGCTTTGATACACGATTTTTTTAAAATACCAATTTGGGTCAGGTTCGTCCGTTGACACCGGGGAAGGTACGGTCCATATAGGATACATGGAAAGCCGTTGAATATGATGTTGCATGAACTGTGACGTCATAATTAAGCTGATTCCAACGTGGACCGAACTTAAACAAGGGCCGGGCACATTCGGTCATCCAATCATCCGACATGAAAAAGTTAAATGTTTCTCCAAATACGGAAGTTAATTTGCCCTTTTGTTATTATTTTATGAAAAACATTGAATATCTATATATATATATCCATATATACAACATTTGATATACATGTAGCACCCTATCTATAGCTAACATAAGCCACTCTAAGCGCTTTACAGTACATATATATACAATTAATACAATTAGCATATGCCGCATTAATTCAATACATTTTTATGGGGAATTCGCAGGAGCTGCCTTATCAGGCGCAAACTACTAGTCCTATGCCACCTGGCTAATATCTCCCCGTGTGTTTATGCCTGCTTGTGTGCTGGAAATGTAATGTGGTCTGTTTGTGTCGGGAGCATGATTCCAACGGTATCATTTATAGTGCCACCTCGCTTGATTGTTACAGCACAGATACCGCAACATCCACCCCAGACTAATGTATACTCCACTTGGGTTGTTGGAGTTGCATGGGCAGGAGAAAAACTCTTTCTCTGAATATTCATGCGTACGACGACTTCGGGGATCGAACCCCGGCCGCGTGGAAGGCTGGGTGTGTTAACAACTCGACCAGTCCGCCTATATTGATATTAATTATAACTCTTCAAATCCAAGGTAATTTTAACATATGACATATTGTTCAGAACGACTTAAATAATTGCCCCTGTCCCAATATGGGGACATATTTTGAAATAAAATCCCACATACTGACAGGGGTTAATGGAGGGATGTGGGATCCTGAATTATGCGAGGACTGGATGTTCACTCTGCTGACAGAGCATAAAATAACTGTAAAAATTAAATTATGGAGGGAAAAAGTAAGTTCATGTGTATGTGTGCCCGCTGTAATATCGTATCAATCAAGCTAAAAGCACATAGTTCTGTAAAAAATAACGTGTACTTAAAAGATTTATTTCATCAATATGTAGTTGAACAGAACTTGTCTCCACGTGTTCATATCCGGAAAAATATAACGGTATATGCTTCTAAAATTAGAAAATATTGCTTGTTTTCAGTGGAACGTTTGAATCGGTACCTTATTAACAGACCCTTTAGAAGCGTATCATTGACTTTAGTTTCAGTTTGAGAAACGAAGTAGTGTGCTGCGTTACAGTTGGTGTACTGTGTGATATTGTAGACATCAAGTCTAGTGAAATTTAGGGTTGTAGCGGGTTTCATATCCTTGATCGAAACCACGAAAATTGATATCACAAAGATAACGGGATTGCGTGTATAGATATTGTTGTTTCACAGTCACGGCACGTGTGAACATCGTGTGCAAATAGCTAAATATTGCACCATTCACAAAACTTTTGACCGACACGACTGACTTGTTAAAGTAAACACTCAGGTTTGTATGATTGAGCATATTAAATTGTAAATAAAATGCTACATATGTTGCGAATGTGAGAACTGTCAACAGTAATGGCATTTTCTAAAATAGAATTTATTTTACAGATGTCTGGTGTGGGAGATATATATCTGTCAAAATGTTCAAAGTCTGGTGTCCGGGCCAGATGATACTCGGGCTAACAGTTTAAAACGTTTGTTTACGTGCCAAAAGTCTTTAATATGATTTATTATATGACAGGTGCTAATTCCCAGCCCTGATTAGAGGAGCGACGTCATGTGACGAGTCTGTAAATATGTTATGAATAGAAAATTGTTACAGACCGCTATTAAAAATAGATCTAGGTAATTTCCCAGCCAGATTGTAATTCTGTTACCAATCACACTACTGAATTCAACTACAAATTAATTATCTCATCAAATTCTGAACTATGTGAATATTAATGATGTCGATTGTGCAAATAATTTGGACTTAAAATTAAATATCACATGAACTGAATGTGAAATTCAATTTTTGTATATGTTATTTTGTATTTGAAGCCCTTCACTCTGTGATTCCAAAATGGTCCATGCAATCCATTTGTTTACGACAAAAAAAATAATTAATCTCATTGTAAAATGTCATATAATAAGACAATTGTGGACTTCAGTTTCGGTCTATCCCTGATTTACGGACCTGATCTGAACAATATTCACCTCGGCCGAATAATTGTATAATATTGAAACGTCTTGTAAACGTACCGAAAGGATGTAGGACAGAACATGCAGCTTTATCATGATTTATTTTATATTTGAAGTTTTGTCCTAGTTATCAAAGGAAGTTACATCAATACATGTGTTTGTATTAGGACATTGACACTACTAATTGAAAGTGTTAACAGATGTGGCAAATATCAAAGTAACTGGGAAGAAATTCCATAAATTGGTGATTCAAATAACACATAAAAGACTATAGAGTCCTATAAACATATATGTATAATTTTGCTGGTATTGAGCTAAATCATTTTCTTAAATAGTTTGTTGGCATGTCCACTTGTAGCAGTGTAATTTGTTTGACAAAACATTTTGCTGGAGTCTTAATTAGTATTTGATCAATGTAATAAATTATTTTAATTAATTGAATTTCTATATATTCTCCAGCATTGGCAGAGTTTTTGGCTTGTCCTCAAAGGATTATTTTGTGTATCCTCTTTGTATCTCTTATTTGAGTAGTATTGAGATTGTTGTGGCATTTTTGTTGTTAATTTCTGTATTTTTTTCTGTCTTCAGATATAGTTTTCAAGGCTTTTGCTGGAAAAGGATGTGCTATTAATAAGTTAAAGAGATGTCAAAAGCAACGAAAAGAAAACATGTTACCAAGGAAGTTCTAGATGATTTTATCCTCCCAGAAGATGGCCAGCAAATTGTGAAGGTATATAAATTATGAAAAGTTTGCACTGGATGAATTCCGTCTTTCCTTCTTGCAGAGTTATCTGCTCTTGATAGCAGGTATTGATTGTTACGTCATTAGTTTGTGTGAGAAAATAACGTTGTTTTCTCAAAAAGTGATGATGTTACTTTCACAAAAAAATGACGTAACAATCAATTCCTGCTATCAAGAGCAGATAACTCTGCAATACGAAAAGACGGAATATCAGCATTGTGTTCACATTTACATTTTGTTGTTTTCCTTTTACAATTTCACCTTGATTCAAATCACTATTCACTTACGTAAATTACCCGGCATGACTGTGATATCATTACCTGTAGTCCTAGCTGGTATTATTGGAAACTTAATTTTGTCGTGTAAGTGCTGTCGTTATTGCAAAATAGTTATAGCTTACAAAATACTGGCAGCAAGCAATGGTGAATAGCCTCTGAATCTGATCCAGAATTTGAAGTTTTAGGTTTGGGTTAGAAACTTGGAAGGTAGATGTAGGTAGGAAAAAGTGTTTTATTTAGTTCTACAAATGTAACTTTCTTTTTCTTCAATTAAACACTTTAAAAACATTTGATAATTTACATTGATAAGGTACACTGTCAGATGACTTTTCTTATCTTTTGGTTAAAGCAGACACAATGGCATGGATGACTGACTAAATTACTGGAATTTAAAACCTCAATTTTAAAGATATTATTTGAAATTCAAGATTTCATTCAAATAATTTGAGCAGGGTTTTTTGAAAGTCAGTCAGATTATGGCAAACAATCAATATTTTATCTTGGCCTTATTTAAGTAGTCAAAAGATGATTTGGTATAACTTTGTATGGTAGCTCTGTAAAAGATATATATTACTTCATTGATGTGAAACAGGCAAAAACTTAGCTCTGTAATCAATAGGGTAACTTATTTACCTTTCTTATCAAACATCCATGTTTTTTGACATCCTGTCATATTTAACATGCAGTTGTTTTGTTTCATTACAAACTGACATTAAAAACTGACAAGAGATTTAACTACATATATTCCCATAAAATATACTACAAGATATATATTACTTCATTGATGTGAGACAGGCAAAAACTTCTGACGTAAACGATTTTGACACATTCAGCTTATACTCATTGGTGGTATGTATAAAGTACACATGCAAAATTAAGGATATATGTTATTTGTTAAGCTAAAAGGAACGAAAATATATCTAATACTAATATTTGGTAACTTGTCTGTTTCTTTGCTTTATTTTTTATATATTGTTTTATAAACACAGGTAACAGCAGGCAAAGGAAACAATCTGCATGAAGTGGAATCTCAAAATCAAGACAAGTTCTTGGTCAGCATGCCAACTAAGTTTAGGAAAAATGTGTGGATAAAAAGAGGTAAGTCAGCATATAGTTCAGTTGTCTCCCTTGGACTGCCATTATTATACAGTTTGTGTGCTTACGCTACTTAAATATCTATAGGTTTGTTTATTGATAAAACCAGTCTTTATAAAAAAAAATGTCAATTTAAAACTTGAGTTTATTTAAACATATGTTCTCTGTTTCTTTTTGATGTTTTAACTGACTTTAAGTCAAATTGTTGAACTTGGGAATGTCTAGTGGTACATTCAATTGTGCACTTGCCTGACAACAAGGCTGCAGCTGCACTTACATCCAAACAAACAAGAGTAATAAGTATGAACTGGAACAATTTGTTTCATTATTGTAACAAACTTAATAAACTCAGAAGTTCATAAATAATTGATGGATTTACAACAACCATAACTTTAACATGACAAATACTTTACAATTGTTTCAACGCAAATGTATATTACATCATATCAATATTTAGAGGTATAACACACACATGTGCTCATACCTTCTTCCTAAATATGTACATAATATGGTTAAATGTTCATTGTAGGAGACTTTGTCCTGGTACAGCCTATTGAGGAGGGAGACAAAGTTAAGGCGGAGATTGTAACAATTTTGTACAAAGAGCAAATTAAGTACATCAAGAGCGAAGGACTGTGGTATGTTTGTGTTTAAATAGTAAAAAAGATTAATTTGCACATCATCCCCCCCCCAACTGGAATTTACATGTAGAGTATGAGTAAGCCATGCTAGGCCTAGGTGTCCTGGTAGTAACGGTGATTATCAGACTTACCACTCGGACAACTGTCCTGACTGTGTGAAAATTATAAAGAATGAGGAGAATTTAAAACCACACCCATTCTTGTTCTAAGAGGGTAAAGTAATCACAGATAAATACAGAAATCTGTTTCTTAAACTTTGTGTTGAATAGAAAAATTGATAAAACTTAAAACATATTTTGATTTAAGCACTGTTTGAGTACATGTAGATCTAGAGTGAATAATACCAATCCTGTCACTGGGCACAGGGCCTTGTTTAAATTTAAACCCGATGAACCTTATTATATCCCCTGCAATGAAGTTCTTAAAAGTCTTGAATCAGATTTTCTTGCATCTCGGACAAAGATATCCCATGTCACACCCCATGCTAGATTTTTCGATCTCATCCAATCTGTGGTACGTATACCTTTACGGAACATTTCAAAGAATTTTTACACAGCAATGTATTCATGCTTTAATGGCTCGAAATTAACAATCTGCATCATAATATTCTGTTTTCTCTCAGGCCGGCTGTGTTTGAAAGTGAGGAGACTAAAAGCAACAGTATGATTTCTGACGACCTCCTGCCTCCCAGCGACGACTCTGACGAGGACAATACATGTGACAGTGTTATGAACATTAACAGGAAGCAGGTCGCTGTGTACGACGAGAGCGATGAAAGTGACGATGAAGACGGCTGAGATGGATCTCAACAAGTCTTTTAATTTTGACTCCTACTTATTTGAACACCGGGACAATATCAATGTAATGATATACAATGTAGCATGTATTTGATACACATATGATATGTGCAAAAACAACACATGATATTGCCAATCATATGTGCAAAAACAACACATGATATTGCCAATCATATGTGCAAAAACAACACATGATATTGCCAATCATATGTGCAAAAACAACACATGATATTGCCAATCATATGTGCAAAAACAACACATGATATTGCCAATCATATGTGCAAAAACAACACATGATATTGCCAATCATATGTGCAAAAACAACACATGATATTGCCAATCATATGTGCAAAAACAACACATGATATTGCCAATCATATGTGCAAAAACAACACATGATATTGCCAATCATATGTGCAAAAACAACACATGATATTGCCAATCATATGTGCAAAAACAACACATGATATTGCCAATCATATGTGCAAAAACAACACATGATATTGCCAATATGTATGTATATATATGTACACTGTACATTGGGTATGTAATAAATGTGTTATTTTGAATGGCCTTTTTCGAAATTGCAAATGAAATTATTTAGCTGCTGTCAATGCAGCTGCACATTAAATTGTTCCAATTGTATTGACAACATCGGAAATTACTCCAACAATGTTAGAGGTTTTAAACGGCGAAAAACTTTTGACAGGCGTCGCAGTCGGCAAAATCATATCCGATTGAAAAAAGGCCGACCAGATGCCTCTCATGTTATGGGAGTACATCGGAAATCTGCTTATTATGGCACTATGAAAGTGCCGTGAGTGTGCTGCTGTGTTATATACATCATTGTAAATTGAATCTATTTCTCTGATATTTCTCCCCCACAGTTGACCAATGCTGATCCTACACTTAATCCATGTTAGATGTTGTAAAGGAAATCTAAATGCATAAAAATACCTAATCAAGGGAGGTAACTATCGGAAACAACTCATTTAGGTTGCAGCTTTCGTTTTAAACAAGGGATAATACTCTAATTCAATCCACCAAACAGTTCTAAGTTGGAACTACATGTATTTGCAAACAACATGTACTCTACGCCATTAATAAACAGTTCCTTAAACCCTTATGAATAGACGTTTTTACAGTTCTCACAGTTGCCTAGAAAGAATGAGAGACTGTATTGAATTGTTTTAGATTGGTTAAAACTTAAAACATTTAGTTTAATAATTTAAGTCATGTCATGTGTTTTTGAATTGTGATGTGTCAGTTTGCCAGGTAATGTACTAGTAATTGTCTCAATCTGGATTGGTGACTAGTACATGGGTGTATGATGATGTCATGTGGCTATTGGTGGACCCATGAAGCATTTATGAGGATATTTATGAGGATATTCTTGTTAAAATATCAATTTTGTCAATATAATAAATCATATCCTCGTTGAATGGTTCTTGTTTATCACCGATTATATGTTATCATGTATGTTCCATAACTCCCAACCAGTCTAATAAACACAATTGTATGTGATGTCTTAAAAGGGATTCACACCTTGATCCTAATAGAACACAGGAATCGTCTGTATAATGTTACTCTGCCGACACAAATATATAAAACATTCTTGTTATCCATGATTTGCTGGAGAACCTCCTGACAAAACTAGATTTCTGATTTCAGGACATACCGGTAGGCCTATATGTCATTGTTTGTTTTCTACCAATACATTTGGTACAATTTGTCGGACAAATAAAATTGTTGACTTTGATTTTTGTTTCTTGTCTAGAATCATTGCAGTCACTATAACATTTTTTCAGACATGAAAAGTTTGAGTAAATTTCCAGAATAGTTCCCTACCAGTTTCATTACTCCCTTTTTCATTAGTTGATTGTTGTCTTATCTTCCTGTAATTAAATTCATAACACCATGCTTCTATACCTCATACACGGGTATGTCCGATCACCTGACTGTTAGTCATTTACAATTTGTACCATTCTTGTTCCTACCACGTCAAGGTGAAGGTTGCAGCAAGGAGTCCAATGTCGCATCATTGTAAAGTTAAAAAATAATTCTATTTAACTTCTTCAATCATTTATTTTATATGAGTTGATGATGTATATCGCGAGCTCATTATTGTTCTCTAATGGTCACAATCACAGTATGTATTATGGGTTATAGGAGTGTCAATGTAAAGCATATTGGGGCATTACTTATTTCTGAAAGTATGATGCTTTTTTAGAATCTGCACCTCAAAGACCAAGGTCACAAGAAGAGTTGAAAGGTCAAATAGTCGTAAAGCTACTTCTAAATGGAAGCTAATATATCATGGAAGCTAATATATCGGAAGATGCTAGTAACTAAGTAAATTTGTGTGTTCTGATGAATGACTAAACAGTGCCATGGCACCCAGGGGCATGATATTTGCTACATCTATGTTTGGACACCTTAGTTTAGGTCCAAATATAGCTGTAATGAATTTGCAAGTCCCTGTTAAACATGTAATTTAGCTTGCTCTTTTCAACATATACTAAAATTAAAGGGGTTTAAAGAAACTTACCACACTAGGCTAGCAACGAAATTGTTACAGTAGGTACATGTATGTTTGGATAGGTCCCCATGTGATCGACCACCTAAAGGACAGATTGTGGAAGTGCCGTTCATGTTCAAACCAACTCCTTGTCGTGGTAGAGTCATATAGTCGGTCACATGGGTGAACTGGTTGACGCAGTGCTACTTTTTTCCCGAAAGTGTTCAACAAAAAAACTCACTGGAGCCTGCAAAACATTCTCAGTAAGCACGGGATAGGAGGTAACACCCTCAAATACATGAAGATGGAGTTTCCTCACAAGCAGGTGTTGAACATGAAAAATGAAGTTGAACAATTAACTAATGAGGGATATCTCAAAAACAAACATTTCTTACTGCATCGATTTTTAGCTCGCCTGGTACCGCAGCGTCTGTCGTCCGTCCGTCCGTCTGTCAACTTTTCCTTTAAAACGCTACTAGTCATGAACGACTTAGTAGATTTTGACCAAATTTGATAAGAAGCATCCTTGGGGAAAGGGGAACCAATTTTGTATAAATGGTGGGTCTGGACCCCTTGGGGCTGAGGGGAGGGGCCCAATAGGGGAAACAAAGCATAAAGGGCTGAGGGGCGGGGCCCAATAGGGGAAATATAGCAAATTCTTTAAAATCCTTCTTCTGTAGGAATGAAAGGATTTGTTCCATATTTAGTAAGAAGCATCCTTGGGTGAAGGGGAACCAATTTTGTATAAACCGTGGGTCTGGCCCCCCAAGGGCCTGAGGGGCGGGGCCAAATAGGGGAAACAGCAAATTATTCTTCAAAATCCTTCTTCTTCTGTAGGAATGAAAGGATTTGGTCCATAATTGGTCACAAGCATTCTTTGGTGAAGGGGAACCAATTTTGTATAAACAGTGGGTCTGGCCCCCCCCCTGAGGGCTGAGGGGTGGGGCCCAATAGGGGAAATATAGCAAATTCTTTAAAATCCTCCTTCTTCTGTAGGAAGTAGGAATGAAAGAATATTTGGTAAGAAGCATCCTTGGATGAAGGGGAACCAATTTTGTATAAACCACAGGTCTGGCCCCCCTGAGGGCTAAGGGGCGGGGCCCAATATCCTTTTTTGCTCACCTGCCCGAAGGGCAAGTGAGCTTATGTTATGGTGCAGCGTCCGTCGTCCGGCCTTCCGTCCGTCCGGTGTCCGTCTGTACGGCGTCAACTTTTTACTTTAAACAACTTCTTCTCAATAACCGAAAGGCCCAGGGTACTGATATTAGGCCTGTAGCATGTTGGGATGAAGGGCTACCAAGTTTGTTCAAATGAATGATCTTGACCCACCTTCAAGGTGACTGGGGTCCGATGTCTTAAAATCTTCAAACAACTTCTTTACAATAACCAAAAGGCCCAGGGTACTTATATTGGGCCTGTAGCATGCTGGGATGAAGGCCAACCAAGTTTGTTCAAATGAATGACCTTGACCCACTTTCAAGGTCACTGGAGTCAGATGTCTTAAAATCTTCAAACAACTTCTTCTCAATAACCAAAAGGCCAAGGGTACTTATATTGGGCCTGTAGCATGCTGGGATGAAGGGCTACCAAGTTTGTTAAAATGAACGATCTTGACCAACTTTCAAGGTCAAAGGGGTCAAATGTCTTAAAATCTTCAAACGCCTTCTTCTCAATAACCAAAATGCCCAGGGTACTGATATTGGGCCTGTAGCATGCTGGGATGAAGGGCTACCAAGTTTGTTCAAATGAATGACCTTGACCAGCTTTCAAGGTCACAGGGGTCAAATGTTTTAAAATCTTCAAACAACTTCTCAATAACCAAAAGGCCCAGGGTACTGAAATTAGGCCTGTAGCATGCTGGGATGAAGGACTACCAAGTTTNTGTATTTTAGTCCACTTTTAAGATTACAAGTGTGAGATTAATACCAGGTGAGCGATGCAGGCCCATTGGGCCTCTTGTTTTTCTGTAGGAATGAAAGGATTTGGATTTGTTCCATATTTGGTCTAAAGCATCCTTGGGTAAAGGGGAACCAATGTTGTATAAACCGTAGGTCTGGCCCCCCAGGGGCCTAAAGGCGGTCCCAATAGAGGAAACATAGCAAATTTTCCTCAAAATCCTTCTTCTATAGGAATGAAAGGATTTGGTCCATATTTGGTGTGGAGCATCCTTGGGTAAAGGGGAACCAATTTTGTATAAATGGTGGGTGTGGCCCCCCTGAGACCTGAGGGGCGGGGCCCAATAGGGGAAATAGATGTTTTATAATCCTTCTTCTACCATAGGGATTAAGGAATATTATCCTAATTTAGTCTGGAGCATCCTTGGGCAAAAGGGACCTTATTTCGTATAAAGAGGAGTGTGCCCCCCTTGGGGCAGAAGGGAAGGGCCCAATAGAGGAAACATAGCAAATTCTTCAATGGCAGGATTTTGTCAAAATTTGGTATGAAGCACCCTTGAGTGAAGGGGAACCAATTTTGTATAAACGGTGTGTCTGACCCCCCTAGAGGCAGAGAGGCAGGGCCCAATAGGGGAAATAGAGGTAAACCTAAAATCTTTCTTCTACCATAGGGATTAAGGGATTGTATCCTAATTTAGTCTGGAGCATCCTCGGGTCAAGGGGACTCAATTTTGTATAATCGGTGGGTATGACCCCTTAGGGCATAGGGGTGGGGCTCTGTTTGAAGTTTGTTCTTGCTATATCTCAAGTACTGGATGGATCTTTCTGAAATTTCATATGTACTTACAGCATGCGCACCTACCATGGAGTGTTATATCTTTACTTCATACCAATTGTCTTAAACATATATTCAGGTGAGCGATACAGGCCCTCTGGGCCTCTTGTTTTATGTAGAGATACTGTAAGTTGACATATTTTATCCGTTTCATATCTTTTCCGTTTAAGAAGAAATGCATTACTCGTTGCTATGTAAAATTAGTTTCTTTTAAATCCAACCAGACGTGTTTTAATGCGCTAAAGCAAATGTCAAGATATTGTTTCATATAGCAACATTAACCTTGACTTTGTGTGTTAAATACCGAAGCGTGAATTGTTTAGGCTTCCTTAGTACTTAACCTCTTTGTTGCGTTATAATGTAAATATAATCTACTCTAGCAGAGATGACGTCATTGCGCTGCGAATGCTTCTATTGCGACTACTTCTACTTCTAAATGGTAATGACCAAGTTGAAGATAATGTCATGTGGGAGAAAGCGATTTAGTCGATTCCGAGAAACCCAAAATGATATATACATGTATATATCAATTTTATTTTGAGGGTACAGTGACTTGACCTTAAGTGAACAGTCAAGGTCAATGTTTAACAGAACACTACCTGTTTGGTATAGGGTGTATTTATTCTATATAAAATAATATTAATGTGATACTAATTGCCACGTAAATGACGAATGTAACAAGCCTTGTTGTTATGCACACTACCGGCAGGGAACAAATGTAGCTACATTTTTCAAAACATATATGTTCTTATCTATCTTGGCCTCTTCAGAACCTTTTCGTTGCTTCTGTTGCTATGGTGCACTCTACTGTGGCCGTAACTGCCGAAGAATGCGACATTGACCCCGGGTGTCTGGCCCATATTTATCGAGCTGGTGGCTAGGCCTTGTGACCTTCCAGCCGATCTGCTGTGCCGTTGTCACAGGGAAGCCAAGTTGTCTGCCCTTGGGTTTGTTGATAGGGGGGAGTTTGTTGGTCTGGAAGCGGGAGTATGGAGTCCTCGGCCGGCACACTGGGGTTGGTAGTCCTTTTAACTGGCGGCCCATCTGTCCAAAATATAAGATAACAAAATATAAAATGTTGTATTATCTGTTTTGTAATTAAAGCTAATTTGGCTAGGAAGTTGTAAAGAGCATGGATGCATTGTTTACAGAAGGGATGAGATCGGCGCAAATGTACATGATTGTTGATATTTTGAACGATAAGAACATCATCCCATTAATGACTACCTTAAGTTCAAGTCGACATATATGTATTTATAACTGCTAACACTCACTATTTAGGAGGAGACTTCAGATTTTGGACCATAAAATTAAGCGTTTTCAATCTGAATTTGTTCAACATTTTTCTATTTTCTAAGATCTGATGATTTCACCTGAAAGTACAGCACAAAAGATGCCATTAAAAAGTGTTATTGTTTCCTAGGGTGTTAACACACATTTAAGCGACGTTTTTATTTCTGTGCGCGAGAAATCTCCCCTATGGAAAGTTTAAACAGTTGGCAAGTATGTGTAATTTACTGTGACTTACCGACTCGTACTCGTGTATGAGGAAGCCCCATTTTGCTGGCCATCTCAGTCTCTGGGATATGTTCTCGTGACGAACGTGATCCTTCCTGAAGACGAATTTCAACAGAGGAAACATAATCAGAGAGAAAATATATATAACGGACCGCTGCATCAATGGCTGAAAAAAACCATAGGACCTCTGATTTAATGACTAAAAACAGAAAGATGCGGGTAGCCATAGAAGGCGAATTCTCTGAAGAGGCCACTGTTGAGTCAGGTGTCCGTTAAGGAACAGTACTAGGACCCCTACTTTTCCTATACCACACAAACAGTCTGGCTTTTCGCAGCCGACTGCCTACTTTATAGAGAAATCATCTCAAACAAGGACCGTTTAGCACTTCAAGACGACCTTAAACAGCTTTAAACTTGGGCTGCAAACATCAATAAATTGAAAAGTATATAACGGAGAGGGGCGCGTTTCATCCAAAGAGACTACACAGAACAAGGGAAGAGGGATTTATGATAAAACTCCTCAAAAATTTACAACTCCTTCACTAGCATCAAGACGAAAACAACAGATATTAACATTCTATTGTAAAATCGTGGAGGAGCAAAGACTTAATTAATTTACAGCGTGAAAAAAGGAAAACACGGCAGCGTAAATTCCAGGACTGCGAGACATCAAGACCAATTCCAAATTCAATCGGACACAATAACAGAACAGTCATAATACCAAACAGCAACACGGAACAATACAGAAACTCATTCTTTGAGCGACAGCCACAGCTTGGAACGACCTGGACGACATCACAGTTGGGGCGCAAGGAAGAGAGGCATCAACTCCTACCAACTGGGGTTAACCGAAGCTAAGTATCGCATGCGCACTTTTTAGTTAACCCCCTCCGCATTAAAGCCATTTTGGTCGATGTGGAGAATAACAACATTTTATGGTTATTTTGTACCATTTTCAATTCACTAATATATTCAATACTTTTATAATGACCCGATCGTTTTCAAAACTTAACAATAACATGACCATAATACAATTATTATCAATAACATGACAATTATACAACTATTATCAATAACATGACCATTATACAATTATTATCAATAACATGACCATTATACAATTATTATCAATAATCATTATCAATAACATGACCATTATACAATTATTATCAATAACATGACATACATAGGAGGATGAGGTAGCTATACCTTTACAACATACATGTACAAATACATCTAAATAGTGAAATTGATTATTCCAGGCACAGACTTATAAAATGTATCTATTACATGAAAATACATAATAGGCGCGGGTGGCTACCCAGGGATTCCAAGTGGTTGGGCCAATCCCTACCGACAAAGTTTCCGTGGATATGTATACCTCTCAAGTCAACAGAGGTAAATTCAAATGGATATTTTTTGACTTCAGATACATATTGACCTAAATGTCGTATATGATAATACATATAAATAGAAGTATATTTAGCAATTATACAGTAACGACGTATATATCAAGGGCGGATCCAGGATTTCCTAAAAGGGGGGGGGGGGGTGCCGAGAAATAGTCAAAGGTGTGCTGCCGAAGGCAGCGCCCCGAGGGCGTAGCGCGTAGCGCGAGTTGGGGGAGGGTAAGGGAGGGGGTATTCCCCCTCCCGTAACGGGGGTTTGGGGGATTTCCCCACAAAAAAAATGCACTTTTTACAATACATTTTTTTTTAATCAAATAATTTAAACCAGAATTTTAACATTTTATATTTCCGTAAGTATTCTAGAGGATAGCGTCTCGGTTCAAAATATACCATTGCACTACTAGTAGATTGTTTTACATCGTTGCTACATTTACGTAGCCGTAGCCACAACAATGTCAAAACGATGGAAGCACAACGTAAGTTTTGGTATTTTTCTCGTTGATTACATAAACTTAGTCATTATTTTGTGAACGGTAAAGCACACCCGAGTTCGAAGAGGTGAGCAGTTAATACCGGTTTGGATTTTGTATAAGGGACGTTTTGGCTGTTTTGCTCATAAAATGTGTTAGTTTACACATCAAAACGCTTATTTGAAGATTTTAAATCTTATCTATTTTAATACAATTACGAAACAAGTTATATTGGCTTATTTCAGTCACTATTGTTGGACCGGACGGTAGCGCGCAGGGGGTGTTAATCTAGGAGGAAACCCCCAGTCCCCAGAGAAAACCAACGTGATCTGGCAGATGGTCGTTACATTTTCTCTTTCTCCTGTTACTATACCAATCCTTTTCGTTAATGTTTCATATTACCTCAAAATAAACAAGATATACGAATAATTAAGCCACTTACCATATTTCGTCATTGTGCACAAAATTCAGATGCTGTGTAATTTTCTTCTCTTTCGACCCCATCACTTCCCGTTGCTACACACGACAGGAAGCAATATGCTGATAAGGAATGGTGACGTCACAATATTGCTGACGTCACGATGTAACAATTAACATTAAAGGTACCACGTGACGTAGACCAATATAAGCCACGTTTCTTAGTGCTAACTCTAAAGTCCTACGACTGACAGGAAATGTCTATGTATCATATTCAACATGTTTCCTTGTAGTGGATGGTGTAAGATTGTCAGTGAAGATGATGGAGGTAAAACGTTACGACACTTGTACCGTTTCCTATTTTGAACGACATGTATGAAGCGCTTCACTTGTACTGTCTTTCTTAAGGATGTCTAACATCAAAATATATTGTAACTCTTGTATCTTTTTTTTATCGACAGCTCTTTGATTGTACAGTGTATTTCTCCATATATACATAGGAAATGGGTGGTGGAAGGGGTTACTTTAATTTGTTCAATATATTCTTAATTTATTTTACGACAATTATGAAACAAATTAATTATTGCGGCTTAATAATATTGATCACTCGAGCATTGAACTCCGGCCGCCCCGATGAAAGGCTAGCGTACGCGTGTTATCTACTGCGCCACCTGACCGATCTGGCGTAGCATAAGTCCCTACTCAGCGGTCCGCAAAACTCCATTTTGCCTTTATTATTTATACCCAAATGAATTATGTTATCATCTGTAATAATATCATACAAGTATGTATATGTGTACCAGCGTTTAATAAGATGACATGCAAAGAGCTCTTCATATTTCGAGCTACGCTTGTATTTATGTATGGTAGCTCATTCTTATTGTCAGCATTGGAAACATTATAGTAGACTTGGCTGGGTGTCTAACACGAGGTGGTTTAATTAGTTTTAATATACCTCTACTTTATTTATTACGAGAGGTGGGCGGAGCTTCAGTGTGTATCGGTATGATAAAGATAGATACTAGAGACAAGGTCTATTTCCCGAGGCGAACCCGAGGGAAATAGGCATGGTCAAGGGACACCAGAAACTGCTATATCCCTCAACCCCATACTTTAACTGTAGGAAAGTGGTGGGGGTGGGGGGCATATAGTGTTGCCCATGTCCACGTTCCACGTATCACGTACCATGTCCAGTCGCGTCATGTCCCGATTCAATGTAAACCGGCACTTAGCAACGTCATTTCTTTCACGGATTTTCGTCAAACGTTATAAAAAGGTCATGAATGAGTACACAGGGACCTGAGAATATGAGGTTAACATGCAGTGTTGGCGGTTTAGCGAAAAAATGGCAGTACTACTTCCAGCCAATCACACCACGGGTCTGGGCACGCGGATGACGTCAATCTCATTTATATTAAAAGAAGTGGCAGGTTGATTGCGAAAAACTTTGAAACTCTGAAAAGGGCGTGTGATTTTAGAGGAAACGGAGTTCATGTCCGCGGAAGGAGAATCCATTTTACGTGCATATATGAGAATTTTAAAAGAACAAATATCAATCTTTCCAACTGTTTATATAATACGATATTTCGACAACGAAAGCGTTCCTCCCTTCTCGTATATATGCTCATTGGGCCGTGGTGTAATTTTTACCGAAAGTCGATCCAAATCCGTAATACATGTGAAATTACTCTGACCACCTTAGTATAGGTCCAAATATAGCTCTAACAAATTCTCAGGTTCCTGTGCTTTGAGCCAATCGGGAACCGTCGGCACTTTCAGCAAAGCACATTTGTGCGACCTACCGAAGAAGAGCTCACAAAGGGAGATAAAATGAAGAACATGAAATGCAAACGACACTTCTCATCTCATTACCTTTGACTTTGGGTAAGTCTGTTTTATATAAATGATAAAAACATGATCTTTATTTGAAAAAAAATAAAAATAAAAAATTATCTAATGCCATATTATAACTTGTCAACCCTCAAAAACCCATTGTCACACTCGGCTTCGCCTCGAGTGACAATGGTTTTCTCGGGTTGACAATGTTCACTGTCACCTGCTAATGAATGTCATATTTATATAGTGATCAAATGATATCCAGATCAATGCAGGCTCATTCAATAATTTGAAATTTGGCTGATATCAAGTTTAAGTGAGGTTTCAGTTTTAAGGCCTTTAGCCGTTTTCAGTTAACAATATTTAATATTGGGGTTAAAATATCCATATTACTAATGATAATCGGTGGTCGGGTGGTGCAGTGGATAGCGCACTTGCCTTTCACCAAGGCGGCAGGAGTCCGATTCCCCAATCGGACGTGAAAAGGTATGGGTTTACCTGCCCGATTACGTGGGTTTTCTCCGGGTACTCCGGTTTCCTCCCACAATAAGACCCCCCGCGCGCTAACATCCGGGCTAACAAGAGTGATTAATATAAGTTGAAATAACTTGTTTCGTAATTGTTGCAAAATAAAGAAAGTTTATTTATTTACATGTACTAATGATAATTTTCCCGCTCTATATTGGATTTTGATATCTTTGTAGTAACTTTGTTACATTCCCCCATTTTTTGTCAGTAGGTATTTTATAGAAATATAGATACGATCTGACATACCTTGACCTGTTTAAGCGGCAACAGTTTGTATGTGGAATGATAACCCTTGTCCTTAGTAAGCAAATCAAATATTTTGTAACTTGGTAACAAGTGCTTGCTGATTATCTATTGAAAGAAAAGATGCAAAACACCGTTAGAATTACACATATTTTTTTTATAAACGCACATTAAAACATTAACTAGACAATGGGTAGTACACAAACACATTCCAGCCATGCCTGCGTCATTTGATTTCCGTCGTATCTGTTAAACAATGCGGATGCGTTAGTTACACAACATGGGTAACAAACAGAGCGTAACCGTAAAGATTGATGGCTGTGAGGTTAGGGAGACACAGGAAGATCGATTCTTGTTTTGACAAAAAAGTCTAGGTCACTTAAGAAAAATTAAAGTCTATTATTGAAGGAGACTTAAACTCATTCTGGTGGACGGTACATCCAATCGGAACGGAAAATACTAGGAAATCAGCCTCTAGTTCCGTCACTGGGAAAACTTATTTAATTACACACCTTCCCTATATATCCCACTAACATCTATAAACACAATAGTGATTTGATAAAACCTATGCAATCTGTCCAGATTTCGAACGTATTTCAAACAGAATATTGATCCATATGTTTTATATAGAAAAATTACCAGAGCGCGACTTGCGCACATTACTCATGTACGTTTGCTAAGGGCTAAATACCAACCCTATTGTTGTTTCACCTGTGATAATCCTCCACTGTTGAACATATCATGGTCACGAGGAGTACTAGTGATCTGAAATAGGTTGGTGATATTTATTAGCTCACCTGGTCCGAAGGACCAAGGTGAGCTTATGCCATACCGTTGCGTCCGTCGTCCGTCCGTCCGTCAACAATTCCACTGATTGGAATTCAACTAAATTTGACTGGAGGCATCCCTAGGTGGTGGGGGATTCAAAATTGTACAAATGGTGGGGCTGACCTCTCAGGGGGCTGAGGGGCGGGGCCAAAAGCGGGCAATTTGGCTATATTGCTTTAAGCGCCTTCTTCTATGGAACAAAGAAGTGGATATCAACCATATTTGACTGGAAGCATCCCTAGGTAGTAGAGATTCAAAATTGTACAAATGAAGGGTCTGACCCTTCAAGGGGCTGAGGGGCGGGGCCAAAAGGGGACAATTTGGCTATATTGCTACAAACGACTTCTTCTGTAGAACTATGCACTGGATATCAATCATATTTCATCAAAAGCATTCATGGGAGGCAGGGATTCAAAATTATGGTGTGGCTGACCCCTCAGGGGGCTGAGGGGCGGGGCCAAAAGTTATTTTTGGCTATACTGCTTTAAGCGACTTCTTCTCTGGAACTAAGTAATGGATATCAACCTATTTGACTGAAAGCATCCCTAGGTGGTGGAGATTCAAAATTGTATAAATGATGGGTCTGACCCTTCAAGGGGCTGAGGGGCGGGACCAAAAAGGGGCAATTTGGCTATATTGCTACAAACAACTTCTTCTGTAGAACTATTCACTGGATATCAATCATATTTGATCAAAAGCATTCAGTTGAGATCCCCACCCTATAACCATATATGCAATTGCTGAGCATAAGGAGATGAATGCACATATGCTTCCAGGATGGCCTTGAGGACTACCCCACCCTTGGAGACGTTACCCATGGGTCATAACTTCGAAACGGTTAAGATCCCCACCCCAAAACTATATATATAATTGTGTGGCATTAAGAGACGAATTCAGTCATGATATTAGAATTGACCCCAGTGTCTGCCCTACCCTTGCAGACTTAATCCCTGGGTCATAGCTTTGAAACGGTTGAGATCCCACCCCAAAACTATAAATACAAATGATGGGCAAAAAGAGACAAATGCAGTCACGATATTAGAATTGATCCTGGGGTCTGGCCACAACCCTAGGGACCTAGTTTCTGAGTCAAAGCTTGGAAACAGTTGAGATCCCCACCCCATAACCATACATAAAATTGCTGGGCATGAAGAATCTAATACAGATATGCTACAAGGATTGGCCTTGGGGTCTGGCATATTCCCTTGATCTCATACGGAGAAGATTTTGCCATGATTGCTTTGGTATCCAGGTGAGCGATACAGGCCCCCTGGGCCTCTTGTATTAAATATATACAGAAAATAGGCCCCTATAATAGCGTTTACACTACTAGCATACTTTTAAAATGAACAACTTGCAAATTTTAACCTTTTGAGTTTCTTTCTAGGCCCATAATGACCTCGTATCGAAGGGTTGTTAAGACTTATCAAACAACCCATCATACCATTGTCACTCGATGAAAGTTTATTTATGTCATGTTCAAAAGAAGTTTTCCATAAGAATCACACGTTGCCTTTCAATTTACAGATTTTAGCTGCTCGGAATTTTAATGTTTAAAATAAAAGAAAGAAAGAAAGAAAGACATTTGCATTGCATAGCTTACACTTTACTAACGCTGCTATGCAGGAATTGGTAAATGTTCGGCAATGAATAAATGTCCAATTTTGGTAAAAAAATAACAAAGCATTTGGAAAACTTGGCAGAGAAGTTACTTCAAACCAGAAAAGGGTTCTCTTTGTTATTTTATCTTTTATCTTTTTTTTGAAGGGAGAATACTAACAAAATACTGTTCAATTTGTCTTTGTCGATATAAAGGTGCAGCGGAACCCCTTACCTTCACCGTAAATAATCTCTTTATCTATCTCAATCACGGGAATGCATATCGTGCACAAATTCATCCTGTAAAAGGCAAACAAAAGATATTCCAAAAGGATGACTTTGATCCAGCCCATTGTAATCCGTGCATTACTCCTATATCTGTCAGTCAGCTAATGGCATGTAACAAGGTCAAAATGTGTTTGATCACTGAAGCACAGGCGCTTATACAATTAACACCGGAGCGTGATCCAATTACTTTCACGTCCGGGCGGGAAATCAAACCACGGCCGTCTTTTTGAAGGAGAGTGCGCAATCCGATGCGCCGCCCGAACATTGTTATTAACCGAAAACGTTAAAAATCCAGATTAGGCTAATAGCCTCTGTTTATAATAATGTGCTTTAATTTTATAATAGAATTTTATTTACTTGATAGGTGTAAAATACTGCTGTAATGTGGTATATTATAAAAAGAAACAGGCTAACGGAACGATTTTCACTGAAATTGATGAGGTTCTAACTAATAGTCTGCTTTATATAAAATCATGAATTTGGGTGTAGAATTTTGTCCAAAGCTGTAGAATAGGGGGTCTGAACCATAGTTTGCCAAACTGAACGAAATTTGTTAAAAACACGAAATAGTATGGCAAGTTTCTATTTATTATCTTACTTATCTCCTCAATGACAGTGGGAGCTCCAGGCCGTGTGTTGTCACTGAACAAGTTACCCCTCAGCGATGCTGTGGTAAATTTGGGTTGTTATTAGGCCTTTTCCCTTGGATATTTTCATAAGATATTTCTCAAAAATCACGTTATTTTGCCTACAATAATACCTTTTGTGTACTTTTCCAACGTCACAAGACACGTGCCACTGTGGAAAAGAGCTAGAAAAAACCTTGCCTTGACCAGCGTTTAAAACGACAAAAGCTAAACTCTAGAGCATGTACCTCTGTTTTATAATATGTATTTATATATAGGTATCGAGCCATTGCTTCTGCTTAGCGGAGAGGAAGAAAAAACGAAAAGAAAATTGACTAATAAGAATGACTCGGCATGGCTACAAGAACCATTTAATAAGATAATAGACACTCGGTCTAGGTAGATGAACAGCTGTACTTGAGCTCACATTAATGATAATAGCTGGTACTATATAAAATGTAATTTAAACAAAAAACAACAAAGCCAATCAGAGATGAGTTAATGCATTTTTATATCACCTCCTTTTTCATATCACTTATGCTGTTGGGCACTACAAAACCCAAACAAACAAAATAAACAAAGAAATAATTCTCATTGAGAGCACACACATATAAAACTTGGGTTTGAACCAATCACGCCATTGTTATATCCTTAGTGCTGATTCATTGTCTATAACTATTATTTACAGTGTCGAATATTCGTGTTTCAATGAGATTTTTATTAGAAAAAAGGCCTGTCGTCGTAAACGTGGCATATATGTGAGCTATGTATTCAAAAACATTTTCATATTTGATTTCATGTTGCTTTAACCAGTATTTCAAAAACCGTTTAGTCAGTATATTTTTAAAAGGGTTGATTTTATTTTTAGAAACGAGAAAACCTCCATTTGTTTTTACACTTACAGCACAGGCATGCGATGTATTGATGCATTGAATCATTTGTTCTCACAATAATATATCAACGAAATGTGTGAGCCTTTTGTGTTGTTTTTATTTTTTCGTCATCTTATTTTTTGTTTCCCTACGGGAAATAGAAGTCGTCATCTGCCCTGTCCCCGCCAGGGTATGAGTTACGTGCCATTGAGTGCCATTTCTGTCGGCACCATCATTACCACCTAAATCAATTCCAGTGTAAACGAGAGTATCCTTATTGATTACACGAAGCCCTCGGATATTCCTCTTAACACAATAAGACACTTTATAGTCGATGTTTTAAGGATCCCCGTACCACTGCCGAAAACTTGAACTATGGATTTTATTTTTTTTAACGACATAACGTTAATTTTGATAAAAGGTTTCTGAGAGGAAATCCTTAATTTGCAGACATTTTATAAGGGAAAATAAATAACGGTGTTCGGAGAGTAAAATTGTAAAGGGATCAGACCGAAATTCGAACAACCAGACCGGTGATCACGATACAGTTAATGTAACTAATTTGACTACCTGATTAACGATAATTTTCTGGCCCGTTTGTACAGTGTACTTGTGCTACCCGATTAGCGATAATTCCGGAATAACGATAATTTACTGGCCCGTTCGTACAATGTACCTGTGCTACCCACATAGCGATAATTCCGGAATAACGATAATTTCAATGCCCGTTTGTACAATGCACCTTTGCTTCCTGATTAACCATAATTCCGGAATAACGATAATTTACTGGCCCGTTCGTACAATGTACCTGTGCTACCCAATAGCGATAATTCCGGAATAACGATAATTTCAATGCCCGTTTGTACAATCTACCTTTGCTACCTGATTAACCATAATTCCGGAATAACGATAAATCCTGGCCTGTTTGACGATAATTCCGGAATAACGATAATTGCCTTGTCCGTTTGTACAGTGTACCTATGTTACCCGATTAACGATAATTTCCTGACCTGTACCACAGCTTATATATAACGTCCCATTGATGTACAGGTAGGTTACAGGTATGAAGCTACAGACATGTACTAATGGTGTAAATGTTCTCCAAAACGAAATAAAAGGGATGTTGGTGCATGTACTGCTATAAACAACATAAATTAACGCGATGTTCAACGCGATAAACAACATACACTCCATAACTATGTACAGAAGGAATAATTTAACTCGGGTCTCGTCACGATCCCTTCAGTTTTTCCCGGTATGTGTGAGAAACACCGAGGAATTATCTAATACAGTGGGACAGGGATCCTTAACGCATTATTTTAAGAATTCTTGATGTTGATCAATTTAAGCATTAGTGAGGTAAATTTCATTCATTCATTCATCAAGAAGTTTAAATAGCTCTTCTAAATCTTCTTCATCAAGGTATTCTAGGTCAAGGTCACTAAAATCAAGTTCGTACGAGCCAGATCCAGATGAATCTGAGCCAAATTCAGATGAATCTGAACCAGATCCAGATGAATCTGAACCAGATCCAGATGAATCTGAACCAGATGCAGATGAATCTGAGCCAGATTCAGATGAATCTGAACCAGATCCAGATGAATCTGAACCAGATTCAGATGAATCTGAGCCAGTTGAGTCGTCATCACTCGAACTCTTTGCTTTAGAATTGCCATCACCTAAATTATCCGATTCATCCGAGTTTTGTCCACCGGAAGCATTTTGACCAGATTGCTGTTCTGTCGAATCATCGGTACTGTCATCTTCCGAATTATTCTCTCCGGATTCATCTGAGCTTTGATTATCGGAAAGAGTTGGACTCGATGAACTATCATCACTGTTTTCACTAGAATCATTCTCATCTGAATTTTCTCCTCTCAAACTATTTCGACTTGACTCAACAGCATCGCCTTGTTTTCTTTCATTTCCTTCTAAAAGTGCACTTAACATTCCTAAATTACGATCATCTTCTAACCAACTGTCTAGGAAAGAATCTGTGTTAAGATCGTCTCTGGATAAAAAGGCACTTAGAGAGGCTTGTGCATCAGATGTCCCTAAGGAGCTGAGAAGACTGAAGTCTTGACCATTACCATTAGTGAAGCCGTTTCTATTCCCTAGGGTTCTCAACACATCCTGTCCATGTTCTTGTCCTAAAGACGCTGAATCGAGCACACTGACACCCGACCCTAATGACGCTGACTCAAAACCATTTGTCCCCTGTCCTCGAGACCCTGACTCGAACGCACCGATACCTTGTACTTGTCCTTTAGACGGTGACTGCAATACGCTGTTTCCCTGTCTTTGTGAATTTGACTCAAACACTCCTTTTCCTTGTTCTCGTGACCGTGACTCGAACATTCCTGTACCCTGTCCTTGTGACGCTGACTCAAAATTCCTACTGTTATCAGGAAACATAGAGAAGATGATCTCTGACAGTGTAGGCGACACTAATGGCGTGGCCTCGGAGGTCCGTGTGTGACTGCTTAGTGATCCGTGTAATGATGAAACGTCCTTTGGTTCGGTCGGATGTTCGAACGGTCGGGCGACAATCGATTCCTTGGACGATGGTTTAGAAGTTTCGTGGCGGGTAGATTCTTGACCTGACGATGAAGGACGGAACCCAGCAGGCATCAGTCCTGTCAATATTTGCGACATTATGCCTGTGTTAGATTGTGTACCTGTCGATTTAATCGTGGACGACGGAGCTGACGACGTTGACTGCATTACACTGCCAAATTCGTTTGCATTTTCAATGAATGAGGACGCCTCTTGTTGCGGAAAGGTAATTCTTAAGTCTGAAAGCATATCGTCTATATCAAATAACTGCTCATTATTTGTGTTAGTGTTACTTTCTCCTGTAGATGATGTTGACGGCTCATCAAAAGCTGCTACTGGTATTCCTTGAGCTCCCGGGAGTCTGTCAAGGTTAATAAAATTGGTGAGGTCCTCTGTTGCCAACATGGCGTCTAACTCCGCTGGACTTAAACTATCAATAAACTCGGATAAACTTTCATCGTCAAAACTGTCCGATGTAGTAGAACGACCATTTTCTTGAAGATCTACTTCGCTTGGATTAGAATTTTCATTGGAATCCGAATCATCACCAAGATCGAATCGTTCACTACTCGTATCATCTTGTTTCTGTGACGACGGCAATGGCTGTAGTCCTAGCGCTGCTGCCAGGAGATTCCCGTCATCATTGGTCCGGCGAATGGAGCCGGTCTTGGCAACAACTGAAGACGACCCGACTTGTCTAGACTGCACGAAATTTGACACTGCTGCTGCGTCCTGTAAGAGGAAGTTAGTCTGTAGGGACGATAGCGCATTTGACGAGGATGTTGCCGAGTTATGGCGGGACGTAGAAGAATCTTGAAGTAAATTCAACATAGAAGCGTCGTCGAAAAGAGGTGTGATGAGACCGTTGTCAGCTTTAGCCGAGGCTTTTTGAGCCTGAATTTGTTCAGCCAAAGACATTTGTGGAGGTACTACGGCAGTTCCTTTGGAAGTTGAACTTGCAGATAGAAGTGAGTGATCCTCGTCTGACCCTGTTGTGACATCGTTTGTATCACTTGTTAGCTTTCCTGTATCTTTAATGACGCTTTCTGTTAGGTCAGGTATTTCCATGGAATTAAAAAGCGATGAGTCATCGATATCCTCATTGTCGTCGTCATCGTCGTCGTCTGGTGGTTCATCGAATGTAACAGTATTTGAATTGACAATGAAAGTGCTTCCGCTTTTGGAAATTTTATTCCTGTCTATTGCTGAAATGTCATCATCGTTACCATCATTATCTGAAGTTGTATCGTCATTATCGTTGTTGCTGGATATACTATCATCTCCATCATTGTTTTCGGCATCATTCAAATCACTAGTATCCTCATCGTCGTCATTTGACGTTACTGAATCGTCAATAGTGTCATCGTTTGGGGTAGTGTCGTCAGCACTATCATCGCCGTCATCGTCGTTGTTACTATCACTACCGGTACCTTCAATATTGTTGTCGTTGTCGTCGTCATTAGAGGAGGTGCTTGCGCCGTCATCATCACCATCATCTTTGTCGTTAACAATGTCACTGGTATTATCTGTATTATCATCGTCATTAGTGGATGAACTACTATTGTCCTCAACGCCCGCGTCATCGCCACTGGTATCGTCATTACTCTTGTCGGCAGTATCGTCATCAGGAGTGGTAGAAGCATCGCCATTAGAGGTATTTGAAACATCGCTATCGTCACCATTGTTGTTAGAAGTGTTTGCATCATCGTTATCGATAGCTGGTACATCGTCGTTGTTAGATGTATCGTCGTTGTTAGCTGAGGCTATTACATCATTTTTTGACGATGTTACGTCTTCGTTGTTAGCAGAGCCTGTATCTTCGCTGATAGACGATGTTAAATCATCGTTGTTAGCAGAGCCCGTATCATCGTTGTTTGGAGACGATTTGTCGTCTTTGTTAGCTGAGCCCGTATCAGCGTTATCAGACGATGTTACATCATCGTTGTTGGCAGAGCCCGTATCATCGCTGGTTGTAGACGATTTATCGTCGTTGTTAGCTGAGTCCGTATCATCGTTATTAGAGGATGTTACATCGTCGTTGTTAGCAGAGCCTGTATCGTCGTTGTTAGCAGAGCCTGTATCATCGTTATTAGTAGATGTTATATCGTCGTTATTAGCAGAACCCGTATCATCGTTATTAGTAGGTGTTACGTCATCAGTGCTAGCAGAGCCTGTATCGTCGTTGTTAGCAGAGCCTGTATCATCGTTATTAGTAGATGTTATATCGTCGGTATTAGCAGAATCCGTATCATCGTTATTAGTAGGTGTTACGTCATCATTGCTAGCAGAGCCTGTATCGTCGTTATTAGCAGATGTTATATCGTCGTTATTAGCAGAATCCGTATCATCGTTATTAGTAGGTGTTACGTCATCATTGCTAGCAGAGCCTGTATCGTCGTTGTTAGCAGAGCCTGTATCGTCGTTGTTAGACGATGTAACGTCGTCGTTGTTAACAGACGCTGTATCATCGTTAGGAGCAGACGTATCGTCGTTGTTAGATGTTGCATCGCCGTTATTAGATAGGATTTCATTGTTGTTTACAGGGCTTGTTTCAGCATTATCAACAAATGTTGTTTCGTCTTTGTTAGAGGATAAATCGTGGTTCTTTGTAGACGCTGTATCATCGTTGTTTTCATGATTTGTGTCATCATTGTTTGATGATGTTTCAATTGTTTCACCGTTGATAGATGGTATATCATTGTTGTTGGTAGACGTTGCATCATCGTTGTTAGCAGGGTCTGTATCATCGTTGTTAACAGGGTCTGTATCATCGTTGTTAGCAGGTGCTGTATCGTCTTTAGTAATGTTTCCATTACTTATATCGAAATTGGCAGCGTCTATGTCTGACTGCTCATTTTGTACTTGTTCATTTACGACTGTGCCTGCTTTGATCCCAGCACCTTCGTTTTCTTTTATGTTTTTCACTTCTCCTGTATCGGCGACGGAGGTGTCAGCTGTGACCGGGTGACATAGCAAACACGCCAGCAGGTAAAGTGTTACCAACATCATGTCTCTCATCTAAAACAAAACAAAACACACCTTATATATATGTTCACTCATTTCAACATTTTGTAATCAAAACAAAACCAACGTTACAATAAAAGGTAAAACAAAAGGTGTACAAATACGTTGGAAACGAACGCACCAAAAGCATGTGTGCGACATCGATCTTTGTGGTTCGACATCTTACATACAATGGAATGAAGTCTACGTTAGTAAGTTTTTATGCAGGAAAACATTTAACATAATGCCATTGCATGACATAAAAAAGGCATCTCCCCACGGTCTACACGATACACTATTATCAGCGGCCAGAGTTCACTGTGTGACCCAAATACATCTAGGGTACAATTTCGTCTGTTTCTTCAAAAGAAACTTTCTTGAGCTCTCAGTTGAGATCTTAGCAATTATTCCGTCTACTTTAATATTATTAGAGGAAGTTAGTTGTCATTTTAATTGGAATGTTATCATGCCGACTGTGATCTTTTATTTCCGAAGCACCGTTTCCTTAAAGAGCTTTCCGTCCGATGTCTTTGCGGAACGAAAGATGGAATAACTTACTTAAAAGGCTCAATACTTGATGGCGACAACACCCACTCAGTTTGTTACGTTTATTCCATTTATAACTAGAAATTAAATTCACTTTCAGTTTATGAAATGTAGATTCTTCATAAATGATGTTATCTCAACACTCATATATTTTCGAATATTATCCATAACATGCTCTCTCGATGCTTTGGGCCAAAACGTAAGTGGGCGAGAGTTGTCTGGATAAAACGTTAGTGGGCGAGGGTGGGTTAGATGAAACGTAAGAGGGCGAGGGTGGGGTAGATAAAACGTAAGTGGGCGAACACACACACACACACACACAGGGATTCGAGGGTGGGGTAGATAAACGTAAGTAGACGAGGGTGGGGTAGATAAAACGTAGGTGGGCTAGGGTAGGGGTAGATAAAACGCCTTAATTACATAATATTAACAATTACAGCAGTACCGGTTAGTTTGATATTAAGAATGAGCGAAGCGTGTATATCATGAACCCTACCACTCCTCAGTAGAGATCATTGTGGCCATCAAGGAAAGCAACATGATTATTAAAGTTTAAATATATTACGCACAGAGATAGAAAGAAAAAAGTGCAAAAATATCAATATTTGTAGTGGATTTGAATAATTATGTTTATTCTTAAAGACTTTGGTTTATTGGTGGTTGTATGCCGTGCTGGCTGAACTGTAGTATATTCGAAATAAAGTCCTTATCATAAAAAAGTCCTTATCATAAAAAAGGAAATATACACATGCTAATAATGATACCTGAAGTTACTTATGTGTTTAAGTATCAATGAATGCAATAGAAAAAAACTATCATCACGAAACCTAATATTTCCCAAGCAACCCTGTAATAAGTAACACACACACACACACACACACACACACACACACAGGGATTGCAGCTCTAAATTGGGTGGGCCAAAATGAATCACACTGCACCATACAGCTGTGTCGTCCTGTTTTTAGTATTCATCGGTGGTGCTTGGGGCCAAAATATCCTATAACATGTGTGGAAACATATCTTAGCATTCACACAGTGTTTTTTAAACCGGTGTTTTCAACATGACTCGGACAGAAACCAAAAAAGGTTTAGTATAAAAACATATCTTGCAGACAAAGAACAGCTGTAGATTTGTAATGTGTTTTTATATAGGCACCTTACCTTTTCGCTGTACCTGTTTCGGTACATTTCAAAAGACATCGATTGTCAATATGGATTGTCAATATTTTGACCTGTAGAACCATTGAAGAGTCTCAAATGGAAGAAATGATCATATGGTGAAATAAATGTTTACTTTATGAATCGACAACAAAGGTAATTAAATGATTACTATTAGTCCAATAACTATAATAATTTAACACAAGTTTTGCTATTTCAAAAGAAGTGTCATACAACTTTAAGTTATTTTATGAAACATATTTTTCAATACAAAACCATCATGTTTGTATATAGTCTACATACTAGTACACTGTATAAGATAATGGCCGTATGTCGGTGGTTTTTCTCCGGGAACCCCGGTTTTCCTCCACAACAAAAGCTGGCACGTCTTTAAATCACTATAGATGTTACATATAATAGGACGTAAAACACAAACAAACGAAACCAAAACCATTGTATAAGTATAGTCATTCAGCTTATAATCCATGGATTTCCAACACAACGTTTTTACTGGTAGCGCTTGACTGAAGCGATAATCTAGAATGTATCGGTTTGTCTAAAATATGTAGGTTTCGAATTGTAAATGAGATGCGCATTCACTTCATTCATGTCAAACCTGATGATTAGAAAACGTCACATTAAAAACGTCTTTGTAATACCGTTATCTGCTATCTCTTTACGATATTCGTTTTTTCAAAATAATACTGCTTGTTTTGATGCATAATTGATTTTTTTCTCCTGCATTTTATATGATTGTGTTTTAAAAGGATCTTAGACCGTGTTTTTATGTTTGTTTGTCTTAATTCTATCCTTCCAGTATAACTCATTAATTAGAAATAAGGGTTTTAAATACTGATACATAATCAAAACTTTCAACCTTTATATAGATAATTCTGGCATACCGTTAATTTAGTTAAAAAAAAACACTAGATTATTTTTGCTGTAATACTTACTGCAGAGCCTGCGTTCCGTGAACATACGTTTGTGATACGTCTGTGATAGTGACACACTTAATACCTGTGTTACGTACAATACTGTTCACGCTTCAAGGTTCACACGTTTCTAGGGCTACTATTTAACGAGTAGGCTCTGGCCTTGGTCACTTTATTCTGTCAGTCAGACTCGACTGGTTTAGAAATCAGGGCTCAATCTAACTGTCTCGTTAATGATGTATAGTGAAGGGTTACCTGTTTGTATCAAAGTTTGGTGCTTTAACTTGTCGTTTTATTTATTTGTGTGTTTGGGTATAGTCGACGGTTGATTAATGACCATTTTACACAATATACTGAATTATTAATATTAATCACCATGTATATATGTAGCATTTTGTTATATATATTAAGCTTTCGATGGAGTGTATCACTACTACTATTGTATGAAATTTCAGGCAAAACAATGTGGTTGAACAATATTTATATCAGGTTGCTGTTTGTAAAATTATTATTCTTCTACAAGGCTAGGGAAACATGTGCCCTTCAAAGCAAAGTTCTCGTGCCACTTTTCTTTTAATTTCACATCAATGATATTTTTGTTTAATATTTTCCAGAGGTTACTGCTTTATCATGACGAAATCTAAGGCTATACGCGCCACCTTGTGTACGGTGCGAGTAGACTAGTTCGATAATTTGATGGAGAAAAAAATAATTTCGCGGCAGCCTAACGGTAAACTTGACTGGCTTTCAAGTTGTGTGTCGCGCATTTATAAACTTCAAATGGCCCTTGTGGGTTATCATTTGTTTCCCTGAAATCAATTCAGAAGCTAGTCGCTTGTCTGTGACATATCCCATGGGTGCAGATAAAGTACGTGAGCGTAAGCGTTATAATTTCGAGGATGAAATAAATTCATCTTCGTATCATAAGAAGACATCCTTGAATATTTGAATACAGGTAACATTTTGTAACTAAATGTTTTTAATACTGGTTCATTACTTTAAATATAAACAGAAAACACATGCAGTATATATTTCTAATTTCGTGGATAACGCCGCCGATTTGGAATTGTAACATGAATTCTTCGGAAACAAGTGAATTTCCCTTTAAATACAATATCCGAAGCGGAATTAAGTTACCAATAAATAACAAGCCATATACTATTGTGTTGAGTTGTTGGATTCGTCGTTACATTTTGACGTCACAATAAATAGTGAAATAAGGGGAGTTAACAGAATAGTGACGCTGTCATAAATGATGTGTGGAATTTCAAAAAGTTAATGACTTTTTCGGTAACAATATCTAAGCAACATGTAACTAGGATGTTGTATTAAAAAAATACTATTTAATTAATACAAATTAAGTAATTTGATTTCTTAAACTATATCACGTCTATGTGTTACCTACCTCGTTACACTATATCACGTCTATGTGTTCTCTACCTCGTTACAATATATCACGTCTCTGTGTTATCTACCTCGTTACACTATATCACGTCTTTGTGTTACCTACCTCGTTACACTATATCACGTCTTTGTGTTCCCTACCTCGTTACACTATATCACGTCTCTGTGTTATCTACCTCGTTATACTATATCACGTCTAGGTGTTATCTACCTCGTTATACTATATCACGTCTCTGTGTTATCTACCTCGTTACACTATATCACGTCTATGTGTTATCTACATCGTTACACTATATCACGTCTATGTGTTGCCTACCTCGTTATACTATATCACGTCTTTGTGTTACCTACCTCGTTATACTATATCTCGTCTATATGTTACCTACCTCGTTATACTATATCACGTCTATGTGTTATCTACATCGTTACGCTATATCACGTCTATGTGTTGCCTACCTCGTTATACTATATCACGTCTATGTGTTATCTACCTCGTTACACTATATCACGTCTATGTGTTACCTACCTCGTTACACTATATCACGTCTATGTGTTATCTACATCGTTACACTATATCACGTCTATGTGTTATCTATATCGTTACACTATATCACGTCTATGTGTTATCTACATCGTTACACTATATCACGTCTATGTGTTGCCTACCTCGTTATACTATATCACGTCTATATGTTACCTTCCTCGTTGTACTATATCACGTCTATGTGTTACCTACCTCATTATACTATATCACGTCTCTGTGTTATCTACCTACTATATCACGTCTATGTGTTCTCTACCTCGTTACAATATATCACGTCTCTGTGTTATCTACCTCGTTTTACTATATCACGTCTATGTGTTATCTACCTAGTTATACTATATCACGTCTATGTATTACCTACCTCGTTACACTATATCACGTCTATGTGTTCTCTACCTCGTTACAATATATCACGTCTC